TCTCTGTGGTCATTATTTAGAGCTGCATTAAGCTACCAGAGATACACGGAAAACACAGGGGAAACCCGGCTTTCAAAATAAAAGCGTAGACTTTGTAATTGAAAACAAAAACTCGTTACAAGCATGGAGCTGCGTACTCTAGTCTTCAAGTACAAACTCGAATACTATTTTGAGATGATCGCCGTTACTATTATGACCACAAGCATTCGGGTGTTAATGTTAAAATGGCCTTGTCAGAATACTTTTTTTATAGCGAGGATTTATTTTGAAAGCTGTTCGCGCGGAAGTCGTCGTTGTCATTGACGCTAGCTAACAGGCGCCATGGTAACCGCTCTCCTCTGTTATTGTTGTGGTCAAACTCCACCGTGAGGAAACGGGGATCTGTTTAATCACCCGACATTAAAAGACAAAAACAGGTGAATTAAGACACTTCGACGTGAATAATATCACCTCCTTCTCCCAGCTGCTGTTCCGCTTTCTCACGTTACGAGGTGAGACGTTTCGCTTAACCGCTGTTTGGCCTATTAGCGATGATCTGGATGCCTTTGACATTGTTTACTGACAGACTGTCGAGCAGATTGTAGTGTTGTTGTTTAGTTCATAAAACTTACAGCTGTTGGTAGTTTATGATAGGAATCTAATACACAGTTCAACGTGTGTTTTCTTGTCTTTCGCGTAACCTTGTTATTGTCATGCCCTGATGATGCATTCAAGTGAGTCCTAGAAATCTCAGCATTTGAGTGTGAAAGTCGTAAAAAGTACTTAAACTGTACTATTAGTTTGTGTTGTAGAGGGAATAAAGCGGGATATTTCGTACCCTACATACATTTCTGAACAGATAATTCTTGCAGATACCTTGTAAATGATAAATGCATATAAAACCTTCAATAATGATTACAAAGAATGTGAAATAATTATTACTTTGAGCATTATTTTTAAAGATTTACATAATCTCTACCCATTTTTTTTTTCATCAGGAATCTTTTAGAAATTGGATAAAATCTTGTATCACAGTCTGTAACTGAGATTTTGTTACTGGAAAAATAATAAATCCAGTAAATCAGATAATTTAATTTAATTTGCAACATGTCCCAAAATGATATATATATAATATAAGGGATATTAAAGAGAGTATATGTATATTATCTATGTCTGGTCGTACAGTTGTAACCAAGATGTGTGTTAACGTTACATCATCTAACAAGGCTGCTTTTTAATTTGTATGTTTTTAATTATTGGTAGACAAAATGGGGCGGATCTTCTTGGATCACATTGGTGGGACTCGCCTCTTCTCCTGTGCCAACTGTGACACTATTCTGACCAACCGAGCCGAACTCATCTCCACGCGCTTCACTGGAGCCACAGGCCGAGCTTTCCTGTTCAACAAGGTACCTGCACATCACTCCCTTCACCTGGATCATCATAGTTAGTTTAATTGATTGGACCTTGGGTAAAATATTTCAAAATGCGAGTCCTTTCCACTGTAGTTCTTTGTGTTAACACTCAGATAGTATAGCTAAAGTTGACTTTAAACTAATTATGTGTCTTCCACATGATGAACATTTCCTCATTTACTTGTAAGCATTTCCAAATCCAGGAGGTGGCAGCATTAGACCAACACAAACAAACAAAATAGTCCTCATTAAGGTTTGATAGGATTTAAGAACTGACATGAACTTTACGTTTTGAACAAAAATTTGGGGCAAATAAGTCCTAATTATTTCCAACAATACAACAAGCATTTATCGATGACTGTGGACGTTATTAGAGTTGCTACAATTAGTGTGGCTACTTTATCTTCAGCTATTTTAATAGTTGATTAATTGTTTCAAGCAAAAAACATCTGATGTTCCAGCTTCTCAAATATAAACATCTGAAGCTTTTCACAGTTTTAAACCTTTAGGTAAATTAAATATTTATGAGCGTTTGGGGGGTTTTTTTGCATTTTATTTCACTGTTCTTTAACATTTCATAGACTAAACAATTAATCAAGAATCCATAAAGAAAATAATTGTAGCTGCCACCCTGAACATAATTTGCAACTACATCTCGTCCTCACATATCAGAATTTGAAATGTTTTCTAAAAAAAAGTGTTCAAACGTGCAAAAATGTGCTTGAAAAACCTAAAAACGCCCTGTAGAAAACGAGATGACCGCTACAGTGACAGATACCTGACTGCCGCCCTCTACTCCAGGTTGTGAATCTGCAGCACAGCGAGGTGCAAGACAGGGTCATGCTGACAGGAAGACACATGGTGCGGGACGTCAGCTGCAAGAACTGCAACAGCAAGCTAGGCTGGATGTACGAGTTCGCCACCGAGGAAAGCCAGCGCTACAAGGAGGGCCGCGTCATCCTGGAGAGGGCGCTGGTGAGGGAGAGCGAAGGCTTCGAGCACGTTCCCTCTGACAACTCCTGAGTTCGCTTCCGTTGCCACGCTACAAATGCTCAACCCTGTGCTCAAACTACAGCTTTTCCTCCAGCAGCAGTGCATGGACTTGCATGGACAGTGTGCCATTTGTGAGTAGAGCTACACCAAAAATAGTATCACAAGCTGGGTCTTTGTGGGGAGTTTTAAACGAGAAGTGATGGACGTGTTTCCCATAACGTTAAACATCTGAGAATATCTTCTATGATGGGTGATAATACCATTGTTTCTCTGCCCATTTAACGTCACCCGCAGCTTCAATGTGCGCCCGACAGGCCGTGATGTTCGTACAACGTGTTGGTGTGGTGGGATTCTGGCTGCTGTCAGAGGGAGAGGATTCGCTCCTGCTGCCCTTCAGGAAGCTCAGACAGATAGACAGATTGTTACGTAGAGGTCTGGATAACCATTATAACAGCACTGGTGAATTCTGACTCTAAACACGAGATTTAATCGCTAAGCAGTGTGTTGCACTACCTTCCTTTTTCCTGATGAGTGTTTGATGTGACACTACGCCAGAAGTTCAAAGAAGCATCAAGTTACTTTTCTTTAATATTAGCTGTAACAGATTATTCCCTAAAATAAAATAACATCATCAAGTAAACAGAATCTTAACCCTGAAATGTTAATGTTTAACATAGTTATTAATGTTGAAAGAGTTCAGATATCCTGACTTTATTTCATGTTATCAGAAAGATGATAAAGTTGATCAGAACAGGTTTTACAGTGATGATCTTGATTAAATGTACTGTTGATTTTTAGCCACTTAATTAACAGTTTCACAATTATTCAAATGTTTTAATTGACTGCTGGAAATTGACAAACTATTTGAATTAAACTTAAAACATTTATTTTTTGTTGAAAATAAATACATTCAAACAATACAAATGCATTGAATATGTGTTTTCTTATATGTCTGTTTTATATTCAGATTTGAAGATTGTGTCCTTCCTGAATTATCACAACATATAATTTCTTTGAATGTACTATTTTATTTATTAGTTGATTTTTTTTCAGTGCATGTTTAAGTAAGCTCACCAATATTTGTATTGTTTGCTTATATATATGTTGGACATTACTTAAGCTACACAAAAATAATGTTTTATGCCTCTGAATACTTGCCATTTTGTACTTGACAATGGTTAAACATAAAATTGGTAAAGAAATGATATCCAATAAAATCCTTACAATAGTTAGCCATACACTAACCGTAAAAATAAAAGCTGGACAATGTTAAATAAACATACATTTATCTCCAAGCTCCCATTCCTGTCCAGAGTACTGGAGAACATTGTTTTACTCTCAGCTTTTGTCTTCCAGTCAGGTTTCAGGGATCATCACAGCACAGAATCTGCATTTATTAAAGCCTCAAATGTCCTACTTTTGTCTTTGGACTGTGGTGATTATGACATTTTAATTATGTGAGACCAGGGACCAGGTTGGCATCCATGGCACTGTCCTCCAGTGGTTTACCTCCTACTTACATGACAGGACCTTCTCCGTGAATATTGGCAGCCACTCCTCCTCTACTGCCCCTATCCTGTGTGGAGTACCTCAGGGTTCCCTTCTAGGGCCGGCTTTATTTGCTTTATATGCTCCCTTTAGGCTCCACTTCACTGCTATGCTGATGATATGCAAATCTACATGACAAAACTCAGTTTTTCCCATCCTAAAATGCCTCCAGGATGGGAAAAAACGTTCCTTCATTTGAATGATGACAAAACAGAGGTAATTGTTTAGCTAATAAAGCTCAAATCCATCCTCTCCCAGCGATTTGAAGACTGTTGCCACCACATTAATCTCCTCAAGGTTTGATTACTATAGCTTTCTGCTTACATTAAAAAGCCCCTCCTTCGACAATTATAAGACAAAACTCAAGATGTACATGTTTTCTATGGATATTTGAGGGGTTTAATTTTTTGATCTTTTATTTTATGTTATTCTTATAAGTGTTGTTCTCTGTTTTCACGTGTGTGCACAACTGATTTGATTTGTGTACAATATTTTCAGAGGCCCCATCTGGACCGCCGTGTAACGTCACAATAGATATTTAACAAACCGACCGGATTTCGAGGCAGAGAAAACGAACACACCCATCGTGAAGCGGACTCGCATTACGACGCTGAAGTTGGTTTCCGATTCGGCTGTTCAGGGAAAACTTAAGGGGAGATTTAATTTACGGTTGCTGAGCGACCGAAGCTCTTACTGTTGTAACGCTGTCTGAAAACATAACTTACTTACAAATGTATGAAAACTTTATTCTACTTGTCAAAATGCTTAAACTGGAGATTTTACTCGTTTTTTCCCCACATTTAGACCAAAAACCAGTATCGCTAGACTTACTGGAGAGGCCAGATTTTTTAAAACGTTATTCTATTTGTGAAAATGCAAAAAA